TTGGAGAATTGTTTGCTGCACCTGCCTTAAAGAAAAAAGCGGGGATTGCTTTATATATAAAAAAACATCTTTCACCCATTTTAAAAGAAGCTGATAAAGAAGGAAGATTCTTACTAGTGGAAATAAATTTAAATGGAAGAAAGTGTTTAATAGTGGGGGTTTATGCTCCTAATCAACTGTCATCTCAAAAGTTATTTTATAGACAATTACATCAGAAGATTGTGGCTTTGGATTATAATTCTTTGATTTTTATGGGGGACTGGAATGGAGTACCTGACACTTTAAAAGATAAAAAGACAACTTCTAGGGATGTGGCCCTTTCCAGGCTCCCCAAATCTTTTTTTGCGATGAAAGAGGATCTGGAGTTGGTGGATGTTTGGAGATCACAACACATGAATGAACGTGACTTTACCTTTTTTTCTCATAGACATGAGTCTTTCTCAAGGATTGATTTTGTCTTGTTATCAACTGACTTGCTTATTGACTGTAATAAAACAAAAAATTTTCCTAGAGCTTTGTCAGATCACAGTATGGTATGGATTGAGATAGGCCAACATAAGAAAAGGAAATCTTGGAGAATGAATGAAAACTTGTTCAACCATGACGAGAAGCTTAAAGTTTTGAAAGATTATATGGAAGAGTTTTTTCAATTTAACTTGAATAAGGAAACCCCTATATATACTGTGTGGGATGCAAGTAAAGCTTACTTGAGGGGGTTGTTAATTTCTATGAATAATGCACATAAACGTAAGCAAATACAGAGTAGAATAAACTTGGAAAAAGAAATTGGAATTAAAGAAAAATTATTATTCCAGCGGCCAACAGATACTAACTTGAAGGCTTCTATTAAACTACTTAAGGATCAATTTAATATTCTAATTGCTGATCAGGTGGCCACCAACTTGAAGTACATTAAACATAATACATTTGCTAATGCAAATAAACCAGGGAGATGGTTGGCCTACCAATTACGTAAGAGACAGAAAGCTAGACTTATATCCAAAGTTGTGGTTAAGGGCCGCGAGGTACATCAACATGAGTTGATCAAGAAAGCGTTTACAGAATTCTACTCACACTTATATGCTGCTGGGTCTACAAAAATTGAGGATATTGATAAATATATGCAACTCATCTATATATAAACTCACATCAGAACAACAGAAATTGATGAATGAAGAGATCACTGCAGAGGAAATTTTAAATGCGATTAAACAATTGAAAACTGGCAAAGCTCCTGGTACGGATGGTTTGACAGCAATCTATTATAAGTCTTTGTCAGCTGAACTGATTCAACCTTTAAAAGTTTTATTTAATAGGATTATGTTGGGAGAACAAGTACCACAGTCATGGACAGGAGCTTTTATATCCTTGATACCGAAGGATGAGAAAGATATTTTGGAACTT